GATTTGAACCGCTGAACTGCTGATCTAGCAGTAGCCTGCAGTGCTGCATTTAACCACTGCGCCACCTTGGCTAAACCGCTTAGAGAGGGCTGAAAGCCCTATGAAGCGGTATATAAGTCTAACTGCTATTGCTATTGCTATGAAGGATTCTCACCGGCTCAGGGTTGACTCAGCCTTCCATCCTTCCGAGGTGGGTAAAATGAGGACCCAGATTGTTGGGGGCAATATGCTGACTCTCTGTAAACCACTTAGAGAGGCCTGAAAGGCCTATGAAGCGGTATATAAGTCTACTGCTATTGCACTGCTATTGAGCCACACGAGTATGGGGTCAGCATGCGGTGGGTCAAGTGCACAGCTCCAGTCACGCAAGAGAGAACAGAAGCCTTCAGGGTGTGGTCTTGTGGCCTTCCACTCATGCAGCCTGATTGAGAAAAGGCCATGGCCCGGTAGTGGGCTACGGCTGACAGGTTGGGTATCCCTATAGTAAGCTATACCCAAAGTAGTTTTTATTTCTATTTTCACAGAATATTTGCAGTACTGTGCATCATGTGGCAATGTGCACATCAAGATTACAAAACTCAGGAAACACTCAAAAATAGAACTTAGGTTTTACCATAAATAGTTTTTATTTCTCTTATTAAATTTATATGCCACCCCCCTTAAAAATAAGATGACAAGGTTACACAGAAAAATATGGTTTTAACAGAAATTATTAATATTTACATGGCCCCAAAATATAAAATTATAAATAATACTAATCAGGTATATTAGATGAACTAGACTTAATCAGAGTAGCGAAAAGTGATATAAAAGTATACATTTGAAGTGGAAAAGGTTTTTCACAATCTACTTTCGAAAAGTCTTGTTCATTATTCAAGACAGTAAGGAATTAGCTTTGTGTTTGATAAAACCTGCTGAATTGAGTCTTTGCTTTCAAATAATGAACTTAGATTAGAAAAAAAAATGTAAAGATGGATATTTTAATTCTGGAACATTATTTTCTTTCATGCTAAGAGCAGATAGGTCACATAGATGTAAGTTAAATACACAGAAATTTGTGGGATAACAGAATTCTCTACTGATATAGATTTTTCTCTTTCTAATTTTCTCTGCATATCAAGAAATATCTAAAAAGCAAGCTCTACTTGGTGCTGAAATATACATGATTAAGCTGATTCTAATTTGTCTTCTAGCTGCTTTCAAAACAGATTGCAGCAAGGGGGGGGGGGAGCATCTTTTGCCCTACAAAATCTGTAATGTTTCTTTCCCTTATTATATATCATCATATTTAACTTTATAAATATTTATAAATATTTATAATATTTTTATAAATATTTACACCAGCATATTACAAATGTTTCCTAATAAAAATAATCTGATACCAGTAATGGACATAAGAATTGGAGCCAGGATACTCTCAATAAACCATTCTCTGAAATAAAAAGATAGTCACCCAAGTGTCACAGAATTCATAACGATTTCAGTGATCAGTTTAGTTTATTTGCATCTGATGATTCTGAGAGGAATCTTTTCAGGATAATATGTCAAACATTCAGGCACATCTTGAGATACATTAACAGGAACAGATTCCAAATCATGGAAAGTTAATTGTTTACTTTGACCTGCTCATGAACAATCAAATTATCTGGTTATGTTTAGCTTACAGAAAAGAAAATGGAGGGGAGATTTGACAGCTATCTTCAGATATCTGAAAAGTTCTCATATGGAAGAGAGTGGTCTTATTCTCTCTGGTCCCAGAGCAGAAGACAAGAGCTAGTGGATTGAAATTATAAGGAAGATGATTGAGGCTAGATATCAGGAGGAACTTCCTAAGTGTACAAACTATGTCCGAAGTGCAATGTACTGCAACATTGCATGGTTAATTCTCTTTCACTAGAGATCTTCAAACAAGGGCTATAAGGTTATCTATCAGATATTCTAAAAGATCCTGAACGAGTGATTGGACTAGATGGATTTTATGGTACTTTCCAATTCTATGATTGTAAGACTGTTTTTATTGAGATTGCTATAGGAAAGGTATTCCAGAGACATTTTTTTTTAAAAGTCACTGAAGACAAACTTTTAATAGTTCTTGAATTTTATGTTAGAACAAGTTTATCTTCTGTCTTTCAAAGGTATCTAACTTCACTATTAATGCAGAACTAAAGGAGGTGATTTGCAACAGACTTGCTAAACCTAATCCTGAAAATGTCAATTCAGCAAAAAGGCAAGTGAATAGACGATATGCCCCAAATTCTTCTTAAAATCAAAATTATAATGCTAGCAAGAAAAAACTGTACTGATAAGACAGAATAGATCACCTGATCAATAATTATAGAAACAATGTAAATCTAACGAACTTTAAAAAATTGAAAAAAAACCCACCTGTGCTATAATCTTTGAGACGTAAGTTTTTCACTGGTGTTCCACCACATGCTTGGAAAGCATTGAGAATCTGTAAAAACAAAGTTTCCAGTTAAGTGGTAAAGCCTATATTATACTGAACATTTTAACACTGAATATGCCTTCTGTATCGCCCCAAAACAATGATTTCACATTAATGGAAATGAAAATGGAAAGCATTTGACAGTGTAAGCTAAAGTACAGCAAAGGCTATGTCACAATAAATTCATTTTTGCTACATGTTTTTGGAGGGGATTTCTCTTCAGTTACTCTAATATAGTGCAGACTCTCCTCATTCTGCCATCACGTGTTCATCCATTCGAAGTTACAGCAGTGCTGAACAAGTTGCAGCAGTGCTGAACAAGGAGACTTATAATCATTCCTCCAACTATCATAGTATCTCTGCTAGTCATATGATTGCAATTCAGCCATTTGGAAAAGGCTCACCATTATGAAGATTGCAATGTCCTACAATCACATGATTACCAGTTGTGTCCTTCACTGCCAGCTTTTGACAAGCAAGTCAATGGGGAAGCCAGCAGGATATCACAAATGGTGACTCTGGGATGTTGCAACTACCCAGTAGTCGCCTAACAATTGCAACAGCTACAATTTCTGTAATAAGTCGTAAGTCAACACAGTCATGTAATGTCATGGCATATGGCTGGATCACTTATCAATTACCACCCTTAAGTGAGCACTACCTATACCGGTTTGATCTGCCACTGTATCACCGATCATAGTATTCTGAAAAAGCTACAGAGTGTTTAAGGATATTACAAAGTTAATATTTTAATTGTAAAATAAATAGATTAGATAGTGAAGGAATTTGGAACAGCCCAAGAAAAGACAAAAGTCTTGTGATCAAGACCAAACTATCCTGCTGAGAACCTACTCCTACTTTTCATTAAACCAGGGCAAAATAAATGTATCTTCTTCCTATTAAAGCCGTATTAAAAGAAATATGGAATACCTGTAACTGGCACATTTCAGCATTTTAAGAAAAGTGAACATTAACTTGCTTTGAAACTACATTAAAATTATGCAAACTTGTCATAAATAACTATTAAATCAGCACAGATCTATTTTTTCAAATATAACTGCATTAACATCTTTATTAAAACAATGTTAGCAGTCAAAAGCAAACTGCATTTTTTTTTTCTCTCTCCAGTGCCTGGACATCTTTCTAACGTCATTGTTAAATTCTGTTTTTCTATTATTTGTAACTGATAAACACAAGAGCTATATACAGTTAATGTATCATCTATTACTAAGTAAGCTTCATAAACACAACTTACATCATCTTTTGTAGCAGTTTCAGGCATTCTTCCTAGTCGAATCAACTTGCTTGGCTTGGTATCTTTGAGACAGGTTCTATAGTCCTGGTCCTTGAAAATAAAATTCAAAAGGATTTTAAAGTCAACAATGAAGTAGAGGAAAGATGCAACAAGTCAAACATAGTTGAAAGTGTGTAAATTCTCTTAAAAAGTTACAATATAATCCATAACATTTTATCATCAAGGTGCTAAGCTTGCATATGTCCACCACTAAAAGGAAGTGTCAATTTATAAGAAACAAATTAGAACTAAAGAAATTAGGCACAGAAAGCTGTATGGAAGGCTGTGTTGTATTGATTAAAGTGTGAAGTAAAGGTTTATAGGTTCAAATTCATCTTCAACAATGGAAGCTCACTTCCATGGATTTAGGCTGATTATTATCCCTCATATCAATCAGATTGTTTTTATGGAAAAAACTTGGAACAAAGAAAACTATGCTGATCATCTTAAACTCAAGAAAAGGCAAAATATAAATCCAATAAATAATCTCATGTTACAATACTTACACTAAAATTTACAGATTTAATTATACAAGGAGTGAGGTGAGATGGTGTAAAGGTGAGTTAATTTCATTACAGCCGACAGCTTTGATTTTTAAAGTGTTATCATCTTCTAGTAAGCATTTTATAAATATGATTAAGATAGAAATTTTACAATAATTTGCATACCTGAAGATCTGGTTGAGAATCTTTACAAGACTTCCCATCAGCAAAAGATTTGCCATGTTCATAGTCAAAGACCCGACATCCTGGAAGACGATGATCTACATCTCGATACTCAATGCCCCTGTAGTCTGTATCCTGCCTTCCAAGGAAATCCAGATCACTTTTTTCTTTTAGTCCAGGCAATTCAGCTACTTGCTCTTCTTCTTTTGCAGAATTCTCCTGATTGCTAACAAAGCCTTGATGAGGCTTATGTTGGTCCGGAAGATTGGGAAGAGAATTGCGACTATTTTGGAACTCTAGAGAAGATTCAGTCTTAGGATTTTGTTCTTGGGGTTTTTCTTCTTCTCTGGCTCTTGAACCTGAATGTGGCAACTCCTCATTCTGAATACTCAATGAAGACCTGTCTCTAACGACTACAGTCTCTTCTATCTTGCATTCTCTATCTGCTAATTGTGCTGTAGTTTGACTGTGATGGAAGTCTACAACATTTGAGTCTGCTGAGGGTCTCTCCCTTTCTGCAAAATCCAGCGGTGGTGGGGCATCCCTACCCCTAAAATCCTGATCAGCCTGAGGTTTTGGCCTATTTCTGAAATTAGAGTGAGGTACATCTCTGTCTCTGAAGTCTGAATCAGCCGCACCCATATTTCTCAGATCTGTATCAGGTACATCTCTTTTCCTGAAGTCTGAATATGGTTGCTCTCTGTCCCTATAATCTTGTTCAGGCATGTCTCTTGTTCTAAAGTGTGGGTGTGATCCGTCTCTATTTCGGAAATCCAAATCAGATGTTCCCCTAGCACGACAATCTGATGAAGTATCATCTCTGCCTCTATAGTTCATTGTGTGAGCTTCCCTATCTCTATAGTTCATTCGGAATGTATCCCTATTTCTATAATCCATAGGAGGAACATCTCCACTATACTCCACAACCTGGCCTTCTCTATCCTGAAAATTTCCAGGATACATCTCCCTACCTCTAAAGTCTGAAAGGAGTGGTACCCTAGCTCTGAAGTCCAACTGTGAATCATCCCTACTTTGAAAATCTGAAGGCGAGTAATCTCTGCTTCCAAAATCATGCATATGACCCTCCCCACCTCTGAAGTCACTACGTGATCCATCTCTACCTCCAAAGCTGAAAGTAGATTCCTCTCTGTTCGCAAACTGAGGATTGAGGATGCCTGGGAGTCCCTGGATATCAAAAGGAAGTGATTCTCTGCCAGAGAAGTTGCCAGAGTGTCTTTCTTGAGCAAGACTATCAAGGGGAGGAGAGTAATCCCTGTTCCACCCGGGAGCAAATCTTTCTTCTTGGCTCCCACTGTAGAAATAAAGACAGTGTTATTCATAATGTCCTTCGAGTTTGTAATCTACACATCAGCATGTTCTTCTCTAACTTTAACAGAGGTGTTCAACAGTAAGATCCGTAGATGATAGTGATGTTTGGTAGTTTAAGAGGTGGTAGTATACGACAGACGTGATAAGTAAACTTGCGCACTCTTATGTCACCATAATTCCCAGAAGAACTCAACATGGAATACCTGAAATATTAATGAGTTAAGGTAACAATCTACATAGTCTCACAGTAAATTAAATTGGGAACTTTAGAGAGTTTAAGAGGTTGCCATAATTATCTTGCATGCTCCTTCAGTCAGGAATATTCCTTAAACCTGGTTTTATTGCAATTTTAAAAAGGAATTCCTGTAAGCTCTCCTATAATAATGAATTCCTTGTTCAACATTCAAATGAAAGGTTATTAATACAAGGCACTATTTCAAGATATGTAACTTCCACATCTTGTCTTTCCAATGTTACATACTACTTATTAGCAGTTGGAAGGGAACTAAAAGTATACTACACCATTTTACAGCAAAATTACATTTCATAAGTTACTTCACAATTGCATAAAATTAGAAACAGCAATAATATTTTTGGCAGTATTCTTTGCTAATGTAATTTTTCATTAAAAATGTTTATTTTGGCAGGTGGTCTGAAGAATTTTATTTTACCCTTAACATAACATGATTTATTTATGACACTTAACTCATTCCTAGAGAAAAGTGCACTTATATGTTTGAAATTAAGGCTCAAAACTATCTCTAGTACTCAGTTTGCAAGAATTTGAGCAAATAATTTATTCAAACACTACAAACAATAAACATAAATATACATGTTTTGTTGTTTCTTTTATTCTTCTAGTAAAGGTGTGGAAGAATTAGCCCTGCTTCTGAATTGATGTTTTGTACAATTCCTTACTAAGACTAGCAGTTCTTGAGTTACTAATTTGGAAGGATACAAATTCATAAAAAATTGATACCATCCCCCCTCCCCCCCAGAAGACATTTTTTCTTCCGGAGCAGGTCCCTGGGGCCAGAAAGATTGGGGACCACTGGTATACATTATAAAAAAAGGGATAGAACAGCATAAAATAACGTCAACCTTTCATTTCCCTCACAACAGTCAATAATATAATATTCTTTCCAGTATACCTGTTATATTTGTTTACACTAATAGACATAACCCAATGATCAAGGATATGCAGCTACAGGTGGTCCTTGACTAATCATAAAATTGGAGACAGAGATTGTCATTTTAGATCAGCATAGTTGTAAAACTAGATATCATGTGAGTACAAAAAGCGAGATATCACATGATTCCTATAGCAATCCCAGCAATCCCCATTGTGGTCATTAAGCAAAAATTGTGAGTTGTTAAGCAACTAGTCAAAGCATTCGAGGCTTGGTCCCTCTCAAACCAAGCCTCAGTAAAGCACTGCCTCCAACTTCTTCCATCCACCTGCAGTATTTCCCTTCCATCTTTGCCACTTGGCTGCCTGCCTCCTGTCTTGTTAGGTGGCAAGAAGCCCCAGAATCACAGGACTTGCCACACCCTGGAAAGCTGCATTTGCCCTCATCATTCTGCACCCTGACAACCCGTGCTTCGCTGCCCCAACAGACCTTTCCCATCTTCTTTCTCCTGCTGCTATTGAGATATGCCCAGCCCTTTGCAACACAAAACCCCTCTACAGAAAGCCAGCAAAAGAAAGTCCCTTTGTACCATGTTGGTAGGCCCAGCTAGGATGGGGCTTCCTGGCACAGCATGGCTCTAGGGCAGCTTCTTTTTTCCCTGCTTGCTTCTTACTTCTGCTTCTTGCAGTACCCCGTGCTGCGGCAGGACTTCCTGGTGAACCTCAAGTGAACCTCAAGAAGCAGAAGCAAGCAAGTAAATAAGCCAGAAGCAGCCTCAGATCCACGGCAGGTCAGAAAGCTCTGGCCCAGAAGCATGGTGCAAAGCGCTTTCTTTTGCCAGGGGTTTCTGGGCGCAAGGGGTTTCTGGGCGCAAAAGGCTAGACTGGGCAAAATTCATCAACAGCATGGAGCATCCAAAGGTATGTTGAGGTGGCAGAGTATAAGGAGGCATGGGACCAAAAGGACATATGTATGAGGGTGTAGGCAAATGGCAGAGTTGAAGCATCCCAGCTTCATAAGTCTGAATGGATTGCCAAGTGCCCAAGTTTTATCATGTGACCTCAGGAGCATTGCAATGGTTATAACTTTTGACACAGATTGTAAGTCTCTTTGTTCAGTGCCCTGGTATCTTCAGTCATTGAACAAATTATTGTAATTTGAGGACTACCGATATTCAGTTTGAAAGCATAAAAGATATTTCAGATGATCTAACATAAATATACTTGTACAAGTCAGTGACTCCTAAACAGGTTGCACCGTTCCCATAGAAATTAAAGAGACATTAATTTATGGGATCTGTTACGCCCAGGAAAAGGTGTAGCTTGTTAAGGAGTTTATAAACTCTCCAGAGCAGTGGTGGGTTCCAGATCCCATCGCAACCAGTACGCTGCGAAGGGACCGGACATCCAACGTGTGCACTGCGCACGCATGCACACCCACCGCCTGTGATGCTCCAGCTGCTCGGCGGAGTGTTGCGCAGGCGCTGTATGCTGCACATGTGTGCGCAAATGGCCTGATTGGGTCAAATACAGCTCAGGAACGCAGGTGGGTGGGTGGGCCCTCTGAAGCACCGTACCGGAACAGTGCCTGCTGCTCCCAGAAGGCACCAGTACGCCAGTACTGGGGCATACTGCCTGCAACCCACCACTGCTCCAGAGTATATCCATAGGGTTGCACAGGGGGTAGAGAGAGATGACAAAAAGCTTTTGCCTCAGAAGTGATCATCAGAACATTTAAACTTTAAACAAAAACAATGTTTTCATGATTGCTTAATGTTTTATAATACATCTATAAAGGACTAAACATATTTGCCACTATTACTCACCACACTTTATACTGGAAAACCTCAGGTATTAGTTAATAAGTTGGGAATGCCCTTGCTTGTGTAAGTAGCACTTATAGCAGAGTTGTCAAACTGGCAACTATGGGCCACATGCGTCATGTGCAGGCCATGCCTACCCCAGCTCTGTGAAGGGAAAAACGTTGCAAAATGTCACATGACAGCAATGTGACGCTGCAAGTTTAATACTTGTGACCTACAGAAACTGTCTAATTGTAAATTAACCAAATTGTAGTAGGCTAATTTACTTTCAAGTGTGTCTATGGAATCTCAATCAACTAGGACCATAATATGGAACCTATGGCGAGGCGTTGCCCTGTCAGCTGGCCAGTGCATATGTGTGCATCTGATTTCACAACTTATACAGTGAATCCAGCTTCCCCAACAGTTGTTTTTGCCAGAAATATGCCATAAAGATTTTAAAAAACACAATCACATTATTGCAGGACACTGCAATTCATTGTAAATGCCAGCTAGTTGCTAAATGCCTGAATTGTGATCACATGACCATGGGGATAGTACAACAGTTGTAAGTATGAGTATAGGTCATAAGTTACTTTTTCTGAGGCCGTTGTAATTTCAAAGTCATTAAATGAATAGTCGTAACTCAAGGGATACCTGTATTAAGGAAAGGAGAGCATCCCCAGGAATTACACATATAGCACTGTGCCTACTACTATTTTCTTTCAATAGGTGGTTCTTTCTTCTAGGGGAGGCTTCCATTAATAAAAAGGGGGAGAATATTAATGTTATTTCACTTCTCCTTCCATAGAGATCCCCCACATCGTTTTGAAGGATCATCCAAGCCCCTGGAATTGATTTCAGGGATATAATGGGGTTTGGTGAAATTCATTCAAGTGAAAGAAACATTGGCATCACTAAAGGCCATTTTCTCATGAGAGAATACTAATGAATAAAAACCACAGAATCACCAGAAAATAAATGTTTGTGGTTTCTACAAGGATTTCAGAATTTCTGTAATTAAGATGTTTTACCAAAGATGCTTTTTTTGTTTATTTCAGGCATTGCCAATATTTGCAACTGATACTCTATTTAAACAATGGAAAATGAATATTTCTAAGTTTATAAGCCAAGAGGAAAACCCAAAAATTAGATATAAACTACAGCAAAATGTTAAAAGAAAAAGGGGGGTTGGGTTCATCAGATTTGTAACTGTATGTTTGTTGTTTGGTCTGGTTAAAAAAGTGGGTGAACCTCCAGAATAAGAGGCTAGTTGATTTAGAAGGTGAATTAAGATTTGGATGGCACCATTATTTATGGTACGACAAGGTTAAAATAAAAGTTGAATTTAACAACCATTTCATTAGATGTGCCATTCTAAGAATTTGGAACAAACATAAAACGAAGTTTCTTATGCCTCTTTGGATGTGCCCTCAGGAAGCTTTTTTCAGAAAAGAAATAGTGACAAAGCCAAGCTGGTAGACTTATAGTAAAATAATATATTTTAATTTTGGTGATCCTATCCTCAAGTCTAAGGAAGAGCTAGTGTCAGAACATGTCTACCATTGGTTTACAACTGAAATAAGATTTAAATTAGACAGAAAGAGTTATGGGTTTGACTTTGTTAATGAATTGGAAATCCTATTGTGTAGTAGTGATGAACATATTGCTAAGGTCTATAGAGCATTATTGAATTTGAATTTGGAAAGCGGATATGTAAAGCATTGTATAATTCATTTGGCAAGAAATTTTGGATATATTGTAAAACTTGAACAATGGGAGAATATGTGGACAAAAGATTTAAAATTTAAACTAAAAGAAAATGTAAAAGAAAATTTTATAAGATTATATTTTGTTGGTATTTAATACCAGATAAGTTATCAAGAATGTGTAAAGATATTTCATGGAGATGCAAATGTAAAGAAGGGATTTTTTATCATTTATGGTAGACATGAGATAAAGCAAAGAAATATTGGAGTAGGATTCATATTCTAATATAGAAATTCTTAAAGTGAATATAAAGATAAAACCAGAAACTTTTATTTTGGGTTT